TCATTGATGAATTATGATGTATTTTCTTGAAATGTCACCCTTATGATTTGAGAGATATTTCGAGAGCTTTACGAAGCGTCTTCTTTTCTCGTTAGGCTTTCGTCGGATGGATGGCGATGCACTAACATTTTTACAAGTATTACTTGATCGTTTTGTCTCCATGATCAAACTTTTTTTTTTAATCTGAAAGTTGGCACTTGAAATCGAGGCAAAGCGAAAACTACTGTCCCATTCCGAATATTTTCTTCAAGTGCTGAAAAAAAAATTACTCAAGTTCTCAGGGCTAGAGACATTAAACTACTGTTTCACAGTCAATCCAAGTATAGTGCTGCTGTTCCTGGTTTTAAAAAATATAGCAATTTTTTCCCCGCAGAAAATGGATAGCATGAGTGAAAGAGCTGAGGTTGGAGGCGTTTAAGAATGGGTTAGTTTCAAGCTCTACAGGAATTCCCTAGAAGTATTATTTTTTTTTTTCACGAGGGACCACGAACGGGTCCAGTCCGGAGATTCCAAAGCCCCTTGAGATGCAAATAATCTGGCAGAACCTTGCGGAGATAATCTCGTGGGATTCTGTTTCCTTGGTGAAGTCATTTATAACATCACGCAGGAGGGGCGGCGTGCTTCGTAAATATGTGAATAAACCCGGAGCGAGAAAACGCTGTGTTGAGGACGCGAAGTCCCAGGGAACCCTTGACGTCTTTTCGATTATCCGACGTTTTCTTTTCCTTTTTTCATTTTCTCATCGTGTTCAAAAGATTAAAAAAGGAGGAAAAAGTTGCCGCGTCATTGCGACCTGCCGAGGTGAATAAGTGCCGTGAATGAATGCTCATTACATTATGCATGACGATGTTGTGCTCCGTGCCCACGGCGGCATAATCCCGTCGCTCCTTTTTTCCACCGTGTCATTCCTCGGTGAATCGGGATGAGAAATGGAATGCTGTCAGTTCGGCGAATGCGGTTCATTCATATTTCGTATCGGTGAACGACAAGATGAAGAAAGAACGAGAGAAGGAGAGAGATCAAGGGATGCCCTGAAGGGGGGGACTGTAGATTCAACACACACTGGGAAAAAATATCTCCGGGTTCCAATCCACGCCGAGTGAATTGTTCAGCAGTGGTTGGTTCCCCAAAACGAACCGTTGGTCAGCACCTAAAATCTGGGTAATTTTTATTCCGAATTCGTACGAACTATTTTTGAATTTCAGAATCAGAGCGAATATAATAAAGCGCCATAAATTTTAAGAAGGCCCATTTCAGTTTTTCAGTGAACATTCGCTGAGTTAGACCGAAATTTCTTTTTCACTTGCTTCATAATAATCTATGACTCCATTGCATTTCGTAGATAAAAAATTACTTCGATTTTCGAATACCGCATGAACCCAACGTTTTTCTTACGCGTACTTCATGGGCAGAATCACTCGAATCATATATTTGAATAACGAAATTCCTTGGAAGAAAAAACTGCTACATATATGTTACACATTGGTGAGAAGAATGAATCAAAGAATATTTCCGTATGGACGACGCTGGAGAAATGTTTATTTTTACATTCCGGGAACAGACGGTAAAGTTCCAAGTGATTTGAAGTATCGCGCAGTCATTCAAAGAATTTTTTGCTAGCAGAAAAATAGTGTTTTTATAAATTCCATTCTCGAACTTCGCCATTCAACCGCAAAATAGGTCAAAGAAAATTGTAAGAGCTTCGATGCCGATCAAAAATGATGATTGGACTGAGTCTGAGTCGTCCGCTAAGTGAATAGGAAGGAGCTGCATTGTTGAGTGCGTTTTGTTGGCATGAAAACTGTGCTGCATTCCATAGGATTTTATTCATTTTTCTTCAGCGACTAATTTCAATCGCAGTTCGTCTGCGGGTGGGATCACGCCGAGTGAAAAACGATGACGCTGGAAAAAGATTTCCTGTCGGCTAACGAACTTGCCTTTTTGTGACGTGGGGGTCGTGACATGCAGTCGATGCTATGCTCTGGAAACGATTTTCTTCCCCGAATATTCTTCTGAAAGGCAATAATTCTAGAATGGAGTCACGTTCTGGAAATCTTGTGACTTAAAAGATTTTAAAAAGGAAATAAATAAAAATGCCGTGCCTCAATTTTCCGTCTACTGCATTCACGACTCCGGCGATTCGTTTAGTTCGGTATTTCGCGCATTATTCCCCTCGAAATTCTCTTGAAATCTTTATTTTCTTAGCGACTGCTTCAGCTTGAAATTATTTACATTTTATTGAGAAAGAATGCTATTTTAAAATCGGATACTACCGCGCCTTTGAAAGTACCGTAAAATGATTGAATTCTTCAACTCCTAATTCATTACCGAACGCGTCTGGAAGAAGAAAATTATGTCCAAAAGGAATAGATAAAAATTGAAAACGCTGGAATGCAGTCTACAAGGATATTTCTAAAGTCATCTCATGAACTGTTAAACCTTGAGGAAGGCATTTTTTCTACGCTGTCTAGAGATCTACAGTATCAGATCTGCCTTTTTGAAAAAGTAATTCAAGGGAAACAATTCTTTCACCGTTAAAAAAAATTGAGTGACTGCGCGATCCTGAAAATCAATCGAAAATTCACCCAAGAAAGATTATTCTACGATTTGACGTCCGTACAGAAAAGACTATGATTCAAAGTTGTAATGCGTGTCGAAGAAAAACGTAGAAAAATACGAATGTAGGAAAATCGTAATTTCTTACTCGCTGAGCAAATAGAAAAATTAGATTTTTTGCAGTATAATCGATGGTTCAGGATTTTTCCGACGAATGTTTTTTTTTTTATTGGAATGGTCCATCAGGAAGAAAATGCCGATATCCAAAACTTAATTGACGTTTCGATTTGTTCGTTGAACGATTAAAAAGAGATCTTCGAAGTCTCAAAGCATATCGCTCTGATTTGAAATGGAAGATTATTGTTGTAAAATGGATTCTAAACTTGTAAGTGAAAACAGAAAACTTCCAGCTTAAGGGCAAATATGTTTTTTTATTGCATTTACAGCGAAAGCTGAGGCCCTTATGGGTAATGCAAAAATTTGACCTCTTGTTCCCCCCCCCCCCCTGCAAACACTCGACATCACACACAACGACTCTCGAAAAGGGGAAAAACAGACGATGGAGTCGTCGTGGCTCGCTGTCGTTTGTCCCACAAATCATTCCAGGACGCGGTTGATGTTGCCTTGTTTTTCGTACCTACAAGTCTTCTCCAAACAACCTCCTTTTTACAATCCGGATCCATAAATAACCCCGCCTGGGGCTTGCGATGAAAAGAAGGGGTTTTTTTCTCCTGACGAGGCGATAGTTTCGAGGAAGGCCCCCCCTTTTTTACGAGCGAGTAAGTCGTAAAATTCGAGTGTTCATCGTGCCTAATGGGCCGAATTACGAGGCTTGTCGACCGTTCTTGTCGTCCATAGCTGCCTTTTCGACTTGCATTTAAACCGAGTTTCCGTCGGCTAATTAATTTGACTAATCACCTGGGCTCGTCAAACACGGCGAGTCCGTTGCTCTTGTAGGACTAACAGAGAAAAGGCAGGACACCTATGTTTCTCCTTAATTACCATACGTACTTCTCAAGTGTTATTGGACCCTCGTTTGTCACCAGTTGTTTCTAAAATACGCATATAAGTGCTCTGAAGGGGTTATTGCTGTATTCATATAAGAGAGATTGTAGTTCTTTAATTTGTTATCGAGAAAGGTGGAAAGTAAGGAATTAAAAAAATCTCAAATGCGAAAGATGTCCTGAACTTTTCTTTAGTCCCAACTTATAATTCTTCCGCTACTTCTGAGCATTATATCAATAAAATTTAATAATGGTCAGGATTGTTTGGTTTGTAAGATGGCGAATTTGAAAAAGCAACGAAGATGTTTGCATGTGTATTATTGCCTCGAAAAGAGTATTGAAAATTGATGAAAACGCACTTGAAGTATTTAAAAACTGAAGCGTGATTAAGCAAAGTAATTTTTAAAGGAAAAGAAGACGACTTGTTCGTCTCGAATAATTTGTTTGGTACCTCGCCGCTTTGTTTTTTGAAGGCATATTTTTGGAATTATCGATTATTGCTATAAATCGCGAAATTAAATTTAGGTGTAAAAAGGCTACATTTTTTCCATAAATGGTTTGAGAATTACAGACGAGTTCTGGTTTCAATTCCTTCATCGATTAATTGCAGCCTATTTCAGATTGAATAGCACATTTGTGTGATAACCGACGGAAAGATGCTATTTTTAGGTTGCTTTTCTTGGATCAAACATTTCAAGGAATGGAAAGGTTTTTGACCTTCTTGTGGAGACATCGGTTTGAGAAAAAAAAAACCTCGAAACTTGCGTTCCAATGGTCCTATCGCTTATTTTTTTGTAGATATTGAGTTTTATCCTTCGATACTCAGTTACTTTTCTTCCGAGATGAATGCCAAAGCAATTTACTGCCTCTTTTGGAATTACATATCAACTCTGACCCCTGTTTGAACTCCTGGAATAATACTTCGTACAGTAATTGAAAAGATTCAATTAAGGCAAATGGCATTCAACCTGTGTGCTTTTGAATGGTAGCGAAGGAATGTTGATGGCAGAAGGTATGTACGAAATCAGGTCCGGTGTGATTAATTCGACTTGATTCATGCTAACGAACGCGCCTTTGAAGAAGTGATTTATTGCGAGCGCCGTGATTCAATGTGATTTTCCGTGGGAACGTCGGACTAGATTTGCATACCACGGTGTCATGATGACTGCGTTGTTTCTCTTTATTAGATTCCTCTCTCTCTTGTGAACGCATGTGTGTGTGTCGAGTTGCGAAGCAGTGATAGAGCAGGAGAAATACGAGTGGAAGTCATGAAGCGCCACAACGAGGACTGAGCTTTTTGATTTAGTGACCCATTCTCCTGGAGTTGAGCCTCGGGACTCGAAATATTTTTTGTTTTGTTTTCTTGTTGGTTGTTTGGAACATAGTTTTCTTACGCATTCGGTGTCCCTGTTTTTCGTGTCGGGAGGCCCTGCAAGAATCATGAAGCTCGTCGAAAAGGTTCTGCTGCAGTTGGTTTCGGTGTGCATCCTGATGGCCTCCGCTGTCGTCTGCATTCGAGGTGAGTTTGCGTTTCTGTTTCTCCTTCTTTTCTTTCCCACGCAATGGTTCCTCGCGTGAATCGTTGAAACCACGCATATAAAAAACAAACACAATGCAAAACAAAACAAAACTGATGGGTTTTTAATCGCCGGTGTTGGAAGAAGTCCTGAGGTGGGTTTCGGTTTCGTCGAGCTGCTCAGTGTCGCCGCGTTTACGCACGGAATAGGCCGCACCCGTTTTTTGAGCTGCCATTTCAAGTTTAAAAAATGAAAATAAAAAGCAGCATCGGCTTGAAGAAATGAGAATCAATCCCGGGAGACCCCTGTTTATTTGCAGCCAAAAAGGAAATTTTTTTCTTTGAAAATTTATACTTAGGTTCTGGAAAGATATGAAATGCGTAAAATGAATCGAGAGAAACCGAAGGGATGAATACGAATTGTGGCTGATTTTGTTGGAAAACGCTCGAAGTGTTCCTCATTCGTAATTTATATCAGCTCCATGCGTCTAATGTTTGAAAGATTTGAATGCTAATTTGCGTATTGTTTCATTATGCTTCAACCCACGTACAGTAATTGAACGACTGATTCAATCGTCCATTTGCCGTATTTTGCGAGTGGCATCCTCTGCCGCTTTTTCGGAAGATTCAAGACTTCGAGCGCAATCGCGATTTATCCCAATAAAATAATTCTACTCGATCTGAGTTTTTTTTTTAAATAAAAGCCCGTTTGATGTCAAGAATAATGCATGATTTCCCCAGTCCACGATATTTCCACCGAGGAGTAAAACAAAAATTGACTCGTGAAATGTTGGACTTGTTTTTGAACGTCATTACGATTTCGGGAATAAATGCTACACCGTTGAATTTACAGTCATCATAAAAGCTGTATTGGTTACACAGCGCCCTTCACGCGGTACTGATGATGACGGGTTCCCGTGCTTGAAACAGACCCGTGGTTAATGAAGCTGCAAATCACCAGTCTTGCGAGGCGATGATCGGCCCGTAAATCAGAGCCCCCTTGCATTCGGTAACCAACCTTCCCTTCTCAATCGCATTGTCGTTTTGTACCGGGAAAGGGGCGTTCCACAATTTGAGTCGTTTTTCGCGTGCGCTGAAGGAATCGACACCCGATGCTCCTCAATTTTTTTTTTATGGAAGCACCTGGATTAATGCGTGGAATACCAACGCCTGATTCGGACTCCATTTCACTTTCTTTTCGAAGACGCGAAAATTTCGCCGCTTAGTGGAAAAAATAATGAAAAAGAGGCTATTTTCCGTTTAAAAAAAGCGAAGAAAAACTGTCCCCGAATATTCCCTGGATTTATTGTGGATCGATTCTTCAATAAACGCCAAATTCAAAATTTAACCATTTTTCCCTTTGAAAGTGAGCTGAACTTGATTGAGCAAGAAATTGAAAGTCTGTCGAGATAGTAAAACGTCCAGCACCATACAGCACTCTATATGTTTTTCCGTGATCGTTTCAAGAAAGTTATATGAATATTCGGGAGAAACTCTGAAAATCGTGAACTATTGCACAGAACAACTAAAATATGTTTCCTGACTGAATGCGTGTTGGTGTTTGCCATTACAAAACCTAAATTTAGATCAACCTACTGAAATATGTCAATAATGGTACTGTGCTCTGAAAGTACAGTAAACTTTCTCGTCGGTTTCTCCTTCGAATGCGCTAACTGAGCATGTAAATTCGACTAAAATTATGACATTTTACAGAATTGCGAACCGAAGTAAATTTGGTCCTATTAAACGTTACATTTTCAGTGCGATGGCGCAAAGAGAAAAAAAATACTGTAGTGCTATGTTGAAATCAGGGAGTAGATAAATATTTTGGTAAAAAATATTTCCTCATAATCTGAAAACGCAACTGAAATATCCGCTTCGAAGTGAATATGATTTCCTTCTAACATAGAAATGGCAAAAGAATCCGTCAACTTTTTTTTAGTTCAATGCTATCTAAAAAACAAAATAATTGCTTTCATCCAATCAATATTTGTTTTCAAGGCAACGATCTTCAATATCTTGAATTTGGGATAATTACTACAGTAATAACAGAACCTTGGAGCTGGAAGGAATAATTTTCGATTATCCGGATTTTTTTCCGCCGCGTTTTTCTTTTCGAGTGTTTGCTGATGACGTAAGCTTTTAATTTTCCTCGTTTTTTCATCCCTGTAGATGTCAAATGTAATTGAACTGGCGTTGCAGATAAAAGTCGAAGATTTATGCAGGATTCTCCGTCAAGGCGTGAAAAATTCGCTTTTTTTTTGTGCGCCTCTCTGCGGTTCCCTCATCGTCTGTTGAGGATTCAAATGAAAAGAATAGTCTCAACACAAATTAGATGAGTGTTAAATAAAGATTCAGGTGAGGTTTTGAGAAAAGGAATAAAAATGCGGAATCCGCCCGGGACAAGGCAGGGAATCTCCGGTCAGATTCCAAAAGAAAAGGTTTAATATATTTTCGAATTTCTACAAGTCCCAAAAAACACAAGACAAAGTTCGAAATTTATGATCCAGGATGTGGATCAAGGACGGGGGTTGGCGCCAAGGCGTCTGATTGGCTCGACAAAGTTGAGTCAAAGACGTCTTGGCGCCAGATTTCATTTTTTGTGGAGGGGGTAAAAGTTCGTTGGCCTTTCCTTTTGCGGTTTTTCCTCTTGGGTGGTTTTTCCACCCAATTAATTTCTGTTCCCGCCGCGTCTGGGATATTAATTTATCTATTTATTAATAATTATAAATGAGTCCCCAACATAATCCCCCCTGCCTTGTCAACGAGCCCGTTTGGCCTAACGTGCTCTTTGACAAGGCATCGTGGCTCTTATTGGCCATGACAGTTAATGGTCTATGGGAATGGCGGGTTTTTATGGGTTTTCCATTTTGGAATAGTGAGTGATGCTGAGAGGGTCCCTTCTTTCTTTGAAGTTCGAAGTGATCAGTTTCGATTTTCAAAGTGTTTAACAGTTTGTATTGATATATATGATTTTATACAGGTTTTTTGCATTCGCGAATTCTTCGAAGATAAAGACATTCTCATCATATATTCGCGACAAAAGTCAATTTTGAAATTCCGCGAGATTCAAACAAGTTTTCGAAAGTTCGTCTATTTGCGAAGTTTTTTCCAACGTCAACTGCTTCTTGATGGCTGAGGGTGGAGGTCTTGGCAACATTCCATCTGCGGCTTCTTCTGATTCCTGGATGAGTGACGACGCTCCGGATATGGCCGTTGAAGGTTGGTCCAAGTTTTTGACTTATTAATCATCTATTTTATTAATTTGATTTTGATTTCATGATTTGATTGTGATATCAGTATTAATTGGATCTTTCTTTAAATCGTGAAGTTCTTTTCTTTCTTATCTTTCTCGGTGTAATTTCAACCATTTCACGAATCGTCGTAGATTTTCAAACTTTCTTTTTTTGCTGGGTGTATTTTCAACCCATCCATTTTTTATTTTCTATCGATCATGACTCCGTCTTCTTCTTTTTTGATATTGATTTCAGATGTAAATATTTTGCTAGGTGAAATGGAAATTTCGAACAATCCGCCTCCGATAGTTCTGGAAGAGCGGACCGTGAAGTTTCCACCAATTGCTTCGGATTTCATCCGTTCTTTGGAAGGAGCGGATCCTGAAACTTGGCATCGCTTGATTGAATTCATGAGCGTTATCAGAAGCGATTTTCTCTACGAAAAGACTGTGGATGGAGCTCGGATCTCGATTAGCCGAAAACGTGCGAAGTTGGCTGAAGCTGAGGAGGAACATGCCCTCCTGATTCGTTCGGAAGAAGATCTACGTTCGGATATTGATGCTCGTCGTAAGCTGATTGAGGATGCTGACCGTTTGTACGGTATTGCCGTTACCAAATTGTCTCGAGCTTTTGATGCCGTTACTCTGAATGATCGCAACACCTTTTTGAAGAAGATTCATTCTGGAGAAGAGCTGTTAATTGCTCTGAAGGATGGAGAATCTTATCATGTTTCTGGTGAGATATTTTATCTGTTTTCTTTGTTTTTTGGTGAACTATTATTTCATTAAGTTGTGATTTGTGCAGATAATGTTTGTGAAATTCGCGTTGGTGGATCTTTCATTCGTTTCGGGACTTCTGACGATCTGAAAAGATTTTGGTTCGCGAGATCTGCTATGGATGCCCCAGTTGCGTCGGATGTTTCGGTGGTTCTTAAGCCTGGTTAGTTTTTCTTTATTTTTATGTGATCTTAGATATTAATAGCAAATCCTCTTTCTAATTTTTTGAAGTTGTGTCAAACGACGCGAAGAAGATTGAAGATTTTGACAATCGTGTTCGGGCTATTGTGAAGGGAACGTTTAGTCCTACTGCCCACAGAGCTTCTTCTTTGGCTAAAACTTTGAGGGCTCCTAACATCCCCCCTGCCATTCAGGCTGACGTGAAACCATGTTCTTCGGATTCTTTGACTCAAGAGCGATCTTTCCGTGAGTTATCGTTACTGTTTGTTAATTTAGTTAGTTTTACTTTTGTTTAAAAAGAAGGGTCTATTTTATTTAGTATTCTAATATATGGTACTATTTTGATAGGTCATTGGAGTTTTATCTTCTCCGTCTCGAAGTTTATGCCCGACAATCCGCCCGCTTATTTTGCGAACGTCGCGGCCAACATGAATTTGACTGACTCTGTTTATAACGAGTTAACGAGGGGAGATGTAAAGGTACCCCTGCCAGTACCTGGCACCATTGTGGCTGATTTTAATTTCTCTACTGCGTCGTTGCCCGTGAGAGGGGTTGACAAGATTCTTCGAAAGAATTCTGCAAAAAGAGCTATTCTCATAGCTGGAACGTCCTTGCTAAGTTCTATTATTATGGCATTAAAGGACAAGACCTTTCGTACTAGGGTTAATGCCCACCAAAAGACCCTTGGTCCAGCGACTAATTTTTCGTACCTCCTTGAGGATTTAGACTTCGAGATTTTTCAGGTAGCTATTTTTTGTTATTTTTATATTGATATTATGTATTTGAATCTAATATGCTTTTTTCTTTTTCTTTATTTGCAGTGGTCGATGAGCGGCTGGTCGTTAACTTGTGGGGACGGTACCTTAAGCGCCACTCAACTAAAGGATCGAATTTACAGTGACCTAAAGTTGGATGCTACTTTTGTTTTCTATGCTGTTTTTATCAGAGGGGGAACTAATGATATCAAACAATTGATATTAAGTGAGGAATTTTGTGACTTTTCTGGTTTTGATGAATTCTTTACTGCTTATGAATTTTATTTGAGTTCTGTTTCTCTGGCTTTTGGTTGTCAAGTTTTTGCTATGGGTGCTTCACCGCCTTGTAATAAGAAGGGTCGGTTTGCTCCGTTGCTTATGAAAACTGATGATCAAGGTATTCCTCTTCTTCCATTATCTTTAAGGGAAAATCAGATGGTTGAGGAGGGTCGTCCATTTGTTTTGGGTGTTGAGGAGCAGATGGAAGCTGGGCGCATTTATCAATATGCCCTTTATTCCAAATTGCAATCTTTAATCGGGTTTTTGAATAAGAGTGATGTAAAGCATCCTGGATGGAGGTCTGTTGTTTCTCCTATTGCTTACTTATCGAAGTATAGTTTGTGCTATGGGAAACTGATTCGATTTGGGCATATGTCTCCAAGGGTTGCTTTGAGTTTTGCTAAAGATAACAGCATTTGTGTTCGGATTGGGTTAAGTTGGTTGGGGGACCCTTCTGATTTTCCTATTCATGTTTGTTGTGGTCGTGCTCCTTACTGGGATGCTTATGGCAACATTGTAAAGGGAGTACATCCATTCAAATATCATATTCATTGTGGGAAATCTGGTATCGTTGATAAGTGTTTTGGGAGGGCAAAGTATTTCATTAATAAGCGTTTGGAAGGTGCTGATGGAGATATCTTCAGGTGTGATATACTTTTGTTTTGATTTAAGAGCTGATTTTTTAATCATTTTATTTTTTTACTTTTTTCAGAACTTTGCAATCTTCTCCTCGGTTTTTCACGGATGACTGCTTCGTCATGGAGTGCCTGACATACAAGCCACACGACTTCGACCAGCGTACGGAACCTCCTGTGTGTTCTATGGTTTCTCTTAAAAATTTTGATCATGATGGTATCATTATTTTTAAGACAGAGAATGGGTTTTATGTTGTGGGAAAGAAGGGTCTTCATTTCGTGAAATCTGATGAATACCTTGGTGTCATTTCTGAGGGGCATGTTTAGTTTTCATCTGTTTGTCCCTGCTTTATTGTATATATTTTTCGCGGTTCCTCCTTTTTTTTGTTTCGTTTTATATCGTTCGTTTGATTTTTGTATTCGGTATTATTCGTTTTGACTTTTTTTGTATTCGCTATTATTCGGGCATATTTTTTTTTGAATATGTACAAAGATTTTTCTGTTATAAAATCGTTTTCTTTGGTTCACTTGACTGTTATTTTGTTTACTTGTATATAATTCATCATTAATGGTAGTGCTGTTTCATGTTTTCCATTAATTTTATCTTGTTGAGGCACATCCATTTCCATTGGTATCAAATTTTTTATAGACTGATTTTTTAACACAACAGGTTGTGACTCTTGATTTTCTTGTGTGGTTTTTGAACCTGTTACTATGTCAACCGACCGAATTATGTTATCTCTTGGACTACGATAGATCTTTAGGATCCGAGCGACCTTCCACTTTAGTCTTTCAAATGGTGAGTCTCCTTTTATTGATTGTCTTTTTAACAACACCATTTGTCCCTCTTTTGGTTCTAGATGAGGTTCTTTTCCCAATGTGCTTGTGAATTTTCTTAAATTTTTTAAGTATGAATCTTCAAATAGAAGCCATAGTTTGCTGTATATCTTAAATCTGAAGAGTCCTTCCTTTGTAAATGAACCTTTGTCATCTACTTCTATAAATTGGGATGGATTTGGTCCTGATTCAAATGGTTTGGTTCTCCAATCTGCTTTGTGTATATGTAAGAACATAGAAGGTGTTATTAATAATGGCGCTTCTCTTTCTGCTGATTGATAGGTTAATGGTCTTGAATTAATTGATGATTCAATAAATTTTACTGATGCATATAGTTTATTATCATTACTGAAGGGAATGCCTCCATATCCTCTAGCATATTTATCTTTTATGATTCTCATGAATCTTTCATAAAATCCACCCCACCAGGGGGCTCTAGCGGCATTAAAATGCCATTTTGTTCTTTTGAATTTTCTTTTTAATTTGATCTGGTTGTTTTCACTGTTCATTAATTTTCTCCATGCTGCTTGGAATGTTTTAGCATTGTCTGATAATATTAATGTTGGATTAATTTCTCTACTGTAACAAAACGTTTCAAAGGCTCCTATAAAATGTTCTAGATCAACTTGCTTTACTGGTTCTATATGTACTGCTCTTGTTAAGGTACATGTGAATACACATAGGGATATTGTTTTTGATGGTATTGGTTGAATGATTTTAGGTCCTTTTGCTCTATATTTCTTTTGTTTGGCATTGTGTATATTTTTGTTAGTCTTATCATAATTTATTGTTTGGAATGGTCCTACAAAGTCTATTCCAATTTTTTGGAAGGGTAAAATGTTCTAAATCAACTTGCTTTACTGGTTCTATATGCACTGCTCTTGTTAAGGTACATGTGAATACACATAGGGATATTGTTCTTGATGGTATTGGTTGAATGATTTTAGTTCCTTTTGCTCTATATTTCTTTTGTTTGGCATTGTGTATATTTTTGTTAGTCTTATCATAATTTATTGTTTGAAATGGTCCTACAAAGTCTATTCCAATTTTTTGGAAGGGTATTAATCCTGTATATCTAAAATCTGGTAATGGAGCTTGTTTTGCTGTAAAAGGTTTGGCATCAAATCTTCTGCATATTATACATTCTCTTTTAATTTCTTTTGCTAGATTTCTTATGCCAGGTATCCAAAAATCGTATGACAGAAATGATAATAATTGATTTGTTGAGGGGTGTTTTAATTTTCTATGTTTGTATATAAGAAATGATTTTAAGATATTGAATTCCTCATTTTTCTTTGGTACTGGTAGGTATATTAGTGTTTTTCTGACAGGGTGATCAGGTGGCACATCTGTTTTTTCATCTACCATCTGTCTGCTTTCCGACATTATAAGTCTTTTAACTGGATCCCAGGTCAAATCTGGTTTGTTTGGTATTGATTTTCCTGTACTTAATATTTGCCATTCTTTATAAAAATAAAATTTTTGTAATAGCTGGAATGCTTGTGTTTCTGCTTGCTCTATTTCCCAACTGGAGAAGTCATCTTTAAAGGATGAATAAGAGAGATATAAATCGTTTACTTTAAGATTGTTTGTCTTTTTATACAATCTATAGTAGTAAAATGTCTTGATTCTTGACATTGCGCATATTCTTTTAATCATTTGTGTCCATGTTGTCTTTCTTTTGAACACATTTTGTATTGTTTGCTTAGTTTTGTGAAATTCCAATTCTTGTGCTGGAGTATTTAAGAAGGTTAGGCGTATTGAAAACATTTTTAATTTAACTGGCCATTCTGATTTGTCTAATAACCATGAAGGTCCTTGAAACCACAGTTTTGATTTGAGTAGTTTGTCTGGGGTTATACCTCTTGATGCTAAATCTGCAGGGTTACAATTCCCTGGTACATGTCTCCATTGTTGTTTATTAGATATTGACAATATGATATCTAATCTATTACGTATATATGATACATTTTTTGGACTTTCTAGTAATATCCAATTTAATGTAACTTCTGAATCTGTCCAAAAGTATATTTCACATCGATATAAATTTTGTGCTTTTTTGATTTCTTCTAAAAGTTGTACCACTATACAAGCTGCTGTTAATTCTAATCTATTAATTTTGATTGGTTTTGGGTTTTCTTTTACTGATTGTCTTGTTTGTTTGGGAATTAGTCTTGATTTCCCCCATAATAATTGTATTTTTGTTTCCTTATCTGATTTTGATATATAGTATATTGCTACACCCATTGCTGACCCACTGGCATCACTAAATGCATGTAGTTCTGAATGTGTTTCATTTGGTACTCTTACTCTTCTTGGTAATTTAATTAATTTGATTTTTTCTAATGCAGTTGCTAGGTTTTTGAATTCTTGTGTTTCTCTAGGATATTGTTGTTTATTTGATATTGATAATATGATATCTAATCTATTACGTATATATGATACATTTTTTGGACTTTCTAGTAATATCCAATTTAATGTAACTTCTGAATCTGTCCAAAAGTATATTTCACATTGATATAAATTCTGTGCTTTTTTGATTTCTTCTAAAAGTTGCACCACTATACAAGCTGCTGTTAATTCTAATCTATTAATTTTGATTGGTTTTGGGTTTTCTTTTACTGATTGTCTTGTTTGTTTAGGAATAAGTCTTGATTTTCCCCATAATAATTGTATTTTTGTCTCTTTATCTGATTTTGATACATAGTATATTGCTACACCCATTGCTGACCCACTAGCATCACTAAATGCATGTAGTTCTGAATGTGTTTCATTTGGTACTCTTACTCTTCTTGGTAATTTAATTAATTTGATTTTTTCTAATGCAGTTGCTAGGTTTTTGAATTCTTGTGTTTCTCTAGGATTGAGTTTTTCATCCCAGTTTGCATTTGGATGATTATCATTGTATTGTTGATATATGAGTTTTGCTTCTGTGATTGCTGGTGTTGCACTACCTGTTGGGTCAAATGCTGCAGCTATTGATCCTGCTGCTTGTCTTTTTCTTAGTGCTTTGTTTTTTGTGAATCTTACTATATTTTCTATGGAAGGAGATATTTCATCTGTTTGTGGGTCATATGTAAGTCCCAATATTTTGTAAGGTTTTAGGGTATCTTCTGTTTTTTCTTGTATTGGATATGTTCTTATTTTTGTAAGTTGAAATGAACCCATGGATAGAGATTTGCCTGCTTTTGTTAATTTATCATTAATTGTTTTAATATTGTTTCCTGTTACTAGTACATCATCTACATAAGTGTTGTCTTCTAGTTCTAATTGTTCTTGTAGTGAAATATATCCTTTTTCATGTGCTTTTCTGTATAAGAATCTAACACATGCATTTAGGATAAAAGGGGCACAATTAATTCCCCATGGTAAGCGCAACCATCTATAAAATTGTGGCTTATACGTACCATCTTCTTGTTTTTTAGGCATTCTTATTATTAATAGCCATTGATCTTCTTCTTGTAATTGAACTTGAACAAAAGCTTTTTTAACATCAGCTATTCCAAAGGATTCTGCAAAACGTAGTCTTAGTAACATGTGTGTTATATTTGGTAGTAATTTAGGACCTTGGTTGAATAGATCATTGCATGATGCTTTATTTTTATCAGCGGCGTTACCTGCTATTACCACTCTTAAAGGTGTTGTAGGGTGATCTGGCCTAGCCACTCCATGGTGGGGTAGTTCTGTATATGGTGTTCCTCTTGCATTTAATTCTTCTAATGTTGTTGGAGTTATTATTCCATCTTTAATCCAATCATTCACAAAATTCTCATAGGCTTCTGCCATTGGTCCTCCTTTTTCTAGTAGTCTTATTACTGAAAGACTTCTTTGTTCACCAGTTTTTAAATTGTGATGGCAATATTCTGGAAAACATGGATTTTTTGGTATTGTAGCTATGACTCTTGAATTTGATCCTATTTTAATTTCTTTCATGTATTGTGATAGTTGTAATTGTGCTGTGTCAGTTTCATCATTATTTCCAAATATGTCAAAGGTATCTGATCTTATTTGTCTCAATATTGCTTGATTAAGATCATAGTCTTCAACAGTTTGTTCCAAAGATTTGACATAACTGACTTTGTGATGAAAGATGAATGTGTTTTCTGGTGTATCATACCAATAGCCCCTTGGAACTAACCCAAATGGAGTGTTTGTTAAATTAAAATATGGATCATCATACAGTGGAAATTTGTAGGGGGTTGAAAGAAGTACTAAGTCTTTTCCCCCCAGTATTAAATCAAAGGCTACTTCTCGCTTTTTTAATATACCTGGATCTGCAAAAAGATGATGAAATTCTGTCAGCCATGTTATAGGACTGGGATTTTGTCCTGTCCAACTTGTGTCTAATGGCACTACTACAGCCTCTGTATTGTGTTTGTAATGTGGATGTATATGTGATTGGAGTGTGATATTAACAATTGTTTGGGAATTCAACAGTTTTGAACCTTGACCAACTCCTGCTATTTGATATAATTTTGGAACTTTGTATG